TGTTGATGCTAAATATCTTTTGCAGTTCAAGGAGCGAGATATACACACCTTGGCTAGACATCAAATAATCTGCAAAACAGAGATCATGGAGCCACTTACCAAAGAGTTCACAAGTATGGTTGCTAAGATCAATGAAAAGAGGCTATGGATGGGGACTATGGGAAAATCAGACGTGATGATGTTCAAGAAGACCTAAGTACATGCTAGTACCAAACCAAGGGGGAGATTGCTAGGAGTTAATTATGTGGTTTGGCTAGGCAACTATTTTTATATGTCTTAATAGGGTCTTGGTCTTTTAATGTGTGTTTTGGTGTTGTTTGCGGTTGTAAGGGCGTTTACGACTGTGAACGGGTATATGGCCGTGAACACGTGTTCGGTCATGAACCCTATTCACGGCATGTCGATTCCTATATATAGTGTCAGAATGTGTCAGAGTTAGAGTAGACTAGTGACGTTGTGTTCACGGTGTATGTGTGTGTTGTCAAGGTGTACCTGGCGTGTTTGCGGCCCAACTATAATATGTGTGCATTGCTTGATTTATTCTTTCCTCTTCTATGTCTGAACTTGCTAATGCTCCCTTTGCTAATCCATCCAATGATCCAAAGGCAACAAATTTCAAGCTTTTTCTAGAGAATCAAGTGAAAAAGGGTTTTACTAATATGAAGACTGCTAAATCTTTCATCAAGAGCTTCTTAAATGCAATGGATCCAATGACCAACGAGTTATTCAAGACTGTGATGTGGCCTCCTACTAACCAAGTGAGACAGATTCCTATTGTGCAGAACTTCCGCGATAGTTCACTAAGAAGTATGCTTTACTGGGTCTATGATGAAACCACAACTTTTTCTGTCATCAGACTTCCTAAAGGTGTATTTCAGATATATGACAAGAAGGATATGCTTCAGTTTGGAAAATGGGATATACATTATCTGGCTCAACATCATATCTAGTTTGTTGAATATATTTTTGAAGCTACTGCTAAGGAGTATACTTTGATGATTGCTGAGATTATCAAGTAGCAGATGTGGCTTGGTTTAATGGGGAGGTCTGATGTGCTTATAATCGAGAAATATTGAATCAATGTTATCCCCAAACCAAGGGGGAGATTGTTAGGTCACATTTTATTGTTTGGGGTAGGTTTCTTTATGTATATGTCTTGGTAAGGGTTTGTTCTTGTTGATTTTGGTGTTTGCGGCCGTGTACATGTTCACGGCTGTGAACCTTGTTTATGGTTGGTCTATCCCTTTATATAGGAGTCTGTCAGAATATATCAGTGACGTTGTTAGAGAGTGTTCACGGTGTTGTGTGTGTGCTCAAGGTGTACCTGATGTTTTTATGCAATAAAAGTGTGTAGTGCTTGACTAATCCTTTTCTCTACTCCATTCTTTTTTGTTTGATTGATTACTTGTTTGATCACTGGTTTAGATTCTTGGATTTGGGACTCTACACTAGTGGACGGTAATTGCGGTTCGAGACTACAATTTGAGGGACCGCGGTCTAAGGGAAAGGTTGGACAATTCACAGGAACTTCGGGTCCTTCCATAAGGATTTTTTCATTGACAACCGATGAAGCCTGGGACTTGGGATAAATTGTGGAAATGATGGGTATTTGATCATAAGGATGATTCGAGGTTTCAAGAAGAATTTCCTCGATGACCCAATTATTACTCAGATTGTGATGTCTACCGAAGTGGGCTCTAATGTGTTTGGGAAATGTTTTATCATTCACTAGGAAGTGAAACTCTCGGTCCGGAGGGACATATGGACAGTCTTTGTTAAACTGGGGTGATGAGTCCTTTGCAGTAGAGTACCCACTGGACCAACCCCAATTCTATGTATTGTCAACGATTCCATTATTTACAATATTATCAATGGCTTTGTTTTCAATAAACAATTTTTCAATTAATAGATTCAAACATACATTTTATTTTTGTGCTAGATCCCTCTGATCTAAAGCTATTCCTAATTGGGTTTCACATAATATTCTTGCATCCTTTTTCTAATACTAAGTCTCTTTCTAACATGGCCACTTTGAGTCTTTTGTCTTCTAGGCGTCCTCTTACATGGAACAAGTCCTGGGACACTATGTTCTTCTCATCTAGGGCCTTGTTATAGTCTGAAAGGCCGGCAGAAAAAGTGTCATTAAGGTTGTCTAAGAATTGTTGACAATCATGCATGTTATAATTGAGAGTTTGAATCATAAGTTTTACTTGTTTAACTATGCTCAGAGTTCCGTCTTTGGCCATGAAGCATAGTACTTCTTTTCCAGCTTAGTCGATCCATCTTCGTCAGCAATTGCTAGCATGCAAATTTTACCCTCGCCATTGACGTTGAAGTCTTCATCCTCATCCCCTGACGACCATACTTAATGATCTCTTTTTACCTGGGCCACATATTCCCTTCCCTTTTCCTTTTCTTCCATCTCCTGTGCCATTCTGAGATAAAACGCTTTGTCCTTCACTGCATTGACTTTATAGTCTTTGTCAAAATGATTCTCTTCGTTGCATTTATGACAAATGACAACATCATCTTTAACTTCGATCGAGATACATGAGTCAGTTGGCTTGACAGACTATAGTGCCTCCTTGGCTTGATGAGAATTCAGAGGTTGCGGAGATTGGTGATGGTATTTAGGATATCGAGGGTAATTGTTTTGAGGGTTGAAGAATCTATTAAAGGGAGGTTTGGTGAACTGTTGATTTTTGCGAAAGGAGGTTGGTGGTAGTTGGTTGAACTGTTGACTAACAAGAGCAAAAGCGTTTTGGAATTCCTTTTCATCACCATACTCTGTGTCAGCTTCGTAAGACTATGGTGGGTTGTCATATGAGAGAGAGTATAATTGAGAAGTTTTTCTTTGTGCAGATTAAGCAACGAGAGCAAGAGGACCTCCGAAGTCTGCATAGTATTTGAGCATGGATGATTCTTGTGCTTGGAGTTCTCCATACTACTTGAAAAGAGAGAGTGAGTGAATCTTCATATAAACTTGGACTATCATTTTCGTCGTAGTCTAATGTTTCCCTAAACCATTGAGAAACAGAAGATTGGTTTCATGAATACTTCAGACAGTGCCAGCATTTGATATCTTTGTAACAATAAAGTTGAATCTTTTGAAGGAATCATCAAGACTTTCACCCGCATGAGCTTTAAAGTTATCGAGCTCGTTAAGTGCGGTGGTGAGCTTCTTATCTTGTGCCTGCTCAGAACCTTCATACAGGTTCCTGAGAACATCCCATATCTCTTTGGCTGACTTTTAATTTATGATAATGTTGAAGTTGTCAGGAGCAACTCCGCGGGATATCTCATAAAAGGCAATTTCATCATTTTCCATTTTATCGAGATCATCCTTAGTGGGATGATTCATGGTAGGTTGACCTCCTCCTAATCTATCTTGAGTATCGTCGGCTTGACCTAGAGTAAGAATAGAGACATGAGGTCCTTATTCTAAGGATCTCCACACATCTCGTCTAAGTCTTCTTAGATATCTCTCCACTCTACAAGAAAAAGACCCTTTTACGACGCGCAAATTACGACACTCAATGGTTTATGTTACGCAAAAGAGAGTGATATTAAAAAAGTGTCATCTATTAAAAAAATTTAAGGATTTAGGTCGCGCATTATTGCGTGCCCTTCAATTAGTGTCAAAAGAAAACAAAATTAAAAACACGGAGGTCGCTATATCTTAAATGTGTGCCCTCTATAATTGTCGCTTTATATTTTTAATGAAAGGTGCGTTTAATAGATACGGGGGAAATAAATCCCCAAAATTTTGAAAACCCGTTTGAATTTCTCTCCATTTCTCTCTTACGATCATCCGCAACCCTAGCTATCTTAATTTCTCTCCATTTTTCTCTCTCACGATCGAAGGACAAAACAAGACATAAATTTCACTTGCAGAAGAGTTGGTGATTTCTCTCCTTTTCTTTGCGAGTTAGGAACAAAGATACCTAGAACATAAAAGAGGAGGAAAAAGACACACACACACACATTGTGTGTGAGGTGCGGCTGCCACAACTTTCACTTCCAGAAGAGTTGCTAAGAATTGGTGATTCCATCTAGGGTTTGACAAGGTTAATCAATATCTCGACATCTTACCTCCTACATCGTATTTCTTCAACCATTCGTTACCATTCTAGAGCTTAACGTGTTCTTTAGCATTCTAGGGTTCGACATCTGTTGAGATTCTTTAACATTGTTCACTAGCCTTCTAACCTTTCTCTGGATAGGCATCGACTCCAAGGTAAGAATAGATCTATTACATTACTTTATAAAATCCTATCATCGATTTGGTTTAATTTCCTTTTCCATGCTCTGATTCTCGTCTATTCATAAAGAAAACTTATGCATTCTAGCCATTCGATGAAATGCCTGACTTAAATTAAACAATTCTAGAATCAGAATAAGAATTGTTAATGTCTTTTAAATAAACGTATCAAAAGCATCTTCCTTCACGTTTTTTGAAAAACGTATTGGAAGAAAAATTAAATAAACAAATATAAAAAAACGTTTTTCCATATTTTGGTATATTATGCTAATTTTCCTTCGCTCCTTTTTGGGAATAGATGGTGTATGTTTTGCTTATACACAAGTCTTGTCATTTTGACTTACTGATCACATACATGTTTGACTTTTAAATGACTTGAAGTATCAGGAATCCTTATCTTGTTAGTTTCACTTACTGATCACATAAATGACTTGAAGCATCAGTAACTAAACTTCACTTATATTCTGCATTTGATTGTTCATATTACACGTCTATACACTTTATAGCAATTATCTTGGGTTTCTTTAAGTATAGTTTTAGTTGTTCCTGGTTTGTAGGTATAAGGAAGGGTAAAGGGTGTACCATGAAGCCTCTTATCTCTTTTTGCCACCAGGTATCTGATATTGGACACCTTGATCTCCAACTACATTGAAAAACCACCTGTTAAGTGAAGTCAATAAAAGGAATTTTAGGATGAAGTGCATACAATACAATAAAAATCTTTTTTTTTTTTTTAAAAATGAAAGGTAAGTTGAGAAAGAATCTCTGGGGTGAAGAATTAGTTATATTAGCGGAAGCCTCAATGGAACCAGCTGTAATATATGTAAAACAAGTGCTTGATATCATAAGCAAGGCGAGCAATAAGGGTATAAAAGGAATTGCACACATACCGGGTGGCGATTTCATAGATACCATCTGTCGTGTTTTTGGTATAGGGTTTGGTGCTCTTGTTTATAACAACTCTTGTTCGGTTCCCCCTGTTTTTAAATGGATCGAAAAGGTATTTAAGTTTTTTTGGTATTAAAAAAACTTGGTTATTTGTTTTTTTCTAATGATGTTTCTGGTTTTGCCCCTTTTCAGGCTAGAGGGACTGAAGATGGTGAAATGAAAAGGACTTTTAATATGGGAATTAGGATCGTTTTGGTTGTTAGTAAAGAGGTTTCTGAAAGGGTAGTTAAGGAAGAAGGTGAGATGGTGTATTGTGTTGGTGAAGTCTTTTCAGGTAATAAACAATTTGACATCATTACCCTTGAGTAGTTTAAAAATGGTTCTGAATTGTTTGATGTTTTGAATTTTATTACCGGGGAAAAAGTGGAATCCACTCCGTGAGAGATTAGATAGCTATGATTTTTTTTATTAAAGAACAATTGTATGTTTTTCTGTTTTTTTTTTCTACTTAGTTCACTAACAGACATTACAGTTAAACTATCTATAGCTAGCTTTAATTTTCTATAGTTTTTGTTCCTACAGTTTTGGTCCTTGTACAGTTTTTGTCACTCTAATAGTTTTAGTCCATGTAACATGTTGCAACTGTTTTGGTCCATGTGCTTTTGTCTCATTTATAGTTTTTAAACCTGTAACAACTGCATTGATTTTTCCTTGGCAATATGTTCACCAAATGATTAAAAGTTCTTTAAAGTGTTCCTTGTGGTATATCTTTATTCTAAGTCATGAATTTTTTTGATTGAATAACTATGCCAGATTCTCCACGTGATTCAGTTCAATTTATTGAATGGTCACCTTCATCTTGCCCTCGTGCCTTGCCAGGTACCATGTCACTTTATTTATAACTATTTCAATAAAAAACGAAACTAACAGTTTCTATATATACATTATAAGTAATGCTGCTTTGTTTTTTTAATTGCAGGATGGAAAGATTGAAGCTGAAGTTAAACTTACTGGAATCTTAAGCTGAGGAGCATTACAACCAGGAGAAGTTAGAAAATATGGGACTACAATTGCACCAGGACTATATGCACCAGTTAACCAACATTTTTTTGTTGCTAGAATGGACATGGCAGTTGATTGTAAGCCTGGAGAAGCATACAATCAGGTTTGGAATTTTACCTATTTTTTTTTAAAGAAAACTAAGACCATTTAATAGTCTTATATATGACACAAGCATCTGTTGTGTTTTTGTATTTTTAGGTTGTTGAAGTTGATGTTAAAGTAGAAGAACCAGGAAAAGAAAACGTTCACAACAACGCATTCTACACATAAGAAACACTCTTAAATCCGAATCACAAGCAATGCGGGATTGTAATCTGTTATCTACTCGCCATTGGATCGTAAGTCTATTTATTTTTAAATTACATGGATTTTATATTTTCAAACTTTTTTTCTTTTTGTAATTTTTATTTGAATGAATTCAAAAAATATCCAGGTGAGAAATACACGAACGGTGAATAGGACCGAAAAATTGCTAATTTTCATGGGAGAATAACTATCTGGACTCAGCCTTCCCATGTAAGCTTTGCCTGCTTTACTTCTAGTATCTTCTTTCACTATTTGTGTACATCTTACTCCTCCTTACATCATTCTTTTAGGAGTTGTTGTTTTGGTATGCAAGTAAGACTATTGGTTTAATGTTTGTTTTTCATTAATGGAAAAAGTATTTGTAGAAAAGATTAGCCATTCTTTCTGTTTGGGTTAAGTTTATCATGTGAAGTACTACAATAGGTTCTCAATGAATCAAGTCCTTGACCCCCATTGGGGTGTGCTTTATGAAGAAGATGTAAGATATGCGTCAATTTCTCATTTTTCATTAATGTCTTATCAATCCTTATTCAGCAAACAGTTTATGGGCTATATATAACTGAGATTTAATATTAATAAAACGGTTAAATGGTCATAAGTCTCACACTGTGAACATTCTTGTCAATAATGCTCCTGGAGTTCTCAAACTGGTCACCGAAGTTATATCCAGAAAGGGTTACAACATCCAGGTTTGGTTTTTTATCCTTATAGTATAACTTTTAGGTGAAATGTTTACTTTTTTTAAATAAAAATATTTAAAAATGAAAAAATGTCAACTTAACATGGTTATTCTAATGGATTTCCAGGCATTAGACAAGTGTCAACTTAAAACTACCATCATGAATCTTCTACATTTGCCCAACCTAAACTTTAAATATCATATTTGTCCTTCTTAATATTTTAAAATATCAAATTTGTCCAAATCTTTTTTTTTTAAATAGTTTTTATTATTTAATAAACCATTTTTACAATTTAAAATCACTAAAATTGAAAATAACAACTTAATGGACCATAATACCCTTCCTTTTTAAATTGCAGGAATCTTTCCGGCGAGGTTTTATGCTTTGGTTGTCTTCCTCAATTCATCTTCGACTCTTCCTCATGATCACCTGTGGACGTTCGCCTCTATACATCTTCCTTTTTGCCTCTCATCGCTTCCATCTTTCAATTGTTAATAAGCACCAGGTAATTATTCCCTTTCCAAATATCCCCTTATTTTGGCAACTGAATCAACACTTATGCGTCTACAATATTGAATTCTTGAAACCCTGTAGTATCTTCACAATGCCTTTTACATATATGTTATTCGATTAGGCTAATAGTCCAAAGCAAAGACTTAATTTTGGTTCTGCACTTCTAATTTTCATTTAAACCGCAGGTTACCATACAGTGGTGTTAAGGTCAATCTAAGATAATATCTTTTTCATGTTGCTTATTGCACTTAGATAGCAATGATAACCATATAAAACCAAGGAAATTGAGTTATTTGCTATCAAATGCCAAATGTGTTTTGGGGAATAAAATTCCTACTGTTGACAGGAAGAGATACATGGAGCAATTACAATACCTTTTCAATACTTTGTAGGTAATACTTCAGTATAAGTCTCTATAATAATCCCTTTAGAGGTAAACAAATTGGTATATAACTCAATTCTTTTCACTGGGGTTGTTTACTGTTTGATTTAGTTGATTTTTTTTTATACCGAGGTTGGTGGTGGTAGCAGCAGGGGACAAAATGCACCCACCCAGGTAAAAACTCACATAGTGGCTTTTTGTCTTGATTTATCTAGTTCTAGTTGTAGATTTGAATGATTTATCGGATGGTTTTGACTGAGTTTTCTATACGAGTTCAGATTTTATGGTTCTTTGCACATCACAACTGGTAAACGGATTCATGTGATTTAGAAGGTAAGGGTATTGTTGTCCATTTAGTTATTTTTTCAATTTTAATGATTTTAAAATGTAAAAAAGGAATACCAAATAATAAAAACTATTTAAAAAATAGATTTGGGCAAATTAGATATTTTAAAACATTAATAATGGCAAATATGATATTTAGAGTTTAGGTCGGGCAAATACGATATTTAAACGTTTAATAAGGGTATATACTGAATTCTCCCTAACTTTTTTGGCCGGGTTTAGTGATTGTGTTTTTGGAAGCTGCCAATTATCAAATAAAGAAGGAAGTGTACAAACCTTAGGATAATAACATTTCAATTGTTTATAATATAATTAATATTATACAATTTTCATGACACAGAAAGTTATAAATGGAAGTGTTGTTAATTACTGGGCTTGTATCAACTTCTCAAGAATTATTCCAGATGGTGTTGCTCACAGTTTTTGTCATCAGTTGGTCCAAATGTGCCAAGATTCTGGCATGGTATGTATATAATCAACCAGATATTATCTTTCATAAATTAAATATTTTAATTATATACAAAATGTTGGAAATGACATGAATTTAAAAGTGAAAGTGTGGTTCCAGTCTACTCTGCAAGACCAGATCAGGTCAAGAAGGCTTTAAAGCACGTGTATATAACCAATGTAAGGCTTTAAAGCACGTGTGCACAACCACTATGTAGCTCTTTCCCTAAACATCTTTTGAAAATGGTTTCTTAGTGTTTGTTTCATGGATGCAGTTTCTTGGAAATTGATCTAGGCCATTTGAAAGGGACCAATGAAGTTAGTTGGCATGGACCTGCGGAAGATCAAGCATATGTTCATCGTGACTACTTTCTCGGATTTCCTTTTCACTAGTTGTCTTGCCATGAATTTGGGTGAACAACCTATCCTTCCTCCTCATTTTCGTGACATAAACTAAAATGAAGTTAATTCATGTTGCAGCTCCTTACATTATGATGACATTAAATTTTGATATACGTGGGTTTAGACCATTTAGTGGAACAAAGTTTTCTTCTTCAAAATCCATTAACTTCACTGCTGACATTTCTAAAGGCGATGCACACTTTTTTTCTTCTTAATTGATTTCTTTTACTATGTTTTGAAACAGTTGTACACTTGTTTTAAAGGTGATGCACACTACTTTTAAAGGTGCCATTGTTCTCATTTAGTTAGTTGTTCTCATTTGGTAGGTTTAAAAGTAGAATGTCCCAATAAGAATTAATTTAAAAGTAGAATGAAAATGACAATTGATTTTATGTTGTGTTTACAGGGTTGATGAAAGCGAATAGCTCACGAGTTAGAAGAGGAAAAGAAAGTTCAAGCTGAAAGAGATAAGATGCTGCAAATGCAAGTGTTGCATTCTTCATTTCAATTGTTAGTATGCAACATAGAGTAGATTAGATGAATGCAAATTTATATATTGTAAGAAATAGAATTATACGACATTAAATTTTATGCAATGGATTGTATTTTTTATATGGTATTTTATTTCTATTCTGAGACAGTAAAAGTAAATTTAATTTAAAAATTAATAAATATATAAATATATTTTTTTTAAACATTTAAATTTACGATACGCAAAAATGTGTGTCATCTTCATTTATGACATGGCCTTTCTTGACAGGGGTTTTAATGATACGCATTGCGTGTCATTAACACGCGCGTTGTAAGGATACGACACGCGAATGCGTGTCGTCTTCCTTTATAACAGGGCCTTCCTTGATACACATTGCATGTCGTAAACATGCGTCGTAATTGCGCGTCGTAAATGAGCATTGTAAAAGCGCGTCGTCTATAGACAACGCACAAAAGCGCGTCGTCTCTCTTTATGACAGGGCCTTCCTTGACACGCATTTGTGCATCGTCTGAGCCTTTTACGACGCCCAATGAGCGTAGTAAAAGGTTGTTTTTCTAGTAGTGCCATCGTTTGGGACCAGTGATGATACTCATTTGCCACCAATATTGGAGCTCTATTCGAACCTCGAACACTGTTGGAAATGTTTAGTGATTATGCTCGTTCCATATTTCCTTGTTTTTGAGAAAGATTTTGTTGATTTTTTAAAAAAAGAAATGAGCTTCAGTGGTATAGAATGCTTTTCAAAATCAAAGTTTTTGTTTAAAAAGCAACTACTTTGGCTCTGATACCAATTGTTGAGAGAAAAACCTTTGAGAAACACACTTGCAAAAATGTTAGAACAAGTTATATATTGCGGAATAAAGTTTAACCCAAAGGATCATAAAGCTCAACAATAATATGTTAACAGTTGTTAGATAGTTAGATGATTAAATGCGGAATTGTAATTGCGAAAATGTAAGGATATATAATGGTAGCAAGTTATATCAAGTAAACACTAAACTAATTCTTAACATGGTTTGCAATCAAACACAAGTTAGTAGATGCGATCAGTTTAAAGTTATTGAAGTCACAAGGACTTGATCCGAAGGAGAGTTTTAGAGTTAGATCTTGAATATATGAATATAAGTTCTGAAAGATCTTGAGAGAATTCTGATAGTGTAAGGAAGCAATGAGAGAAGAGATGTGTATTCATTAAGAATCGGAGCACTCTATTTATAGAGTTCCGAGAACATACACAAGTAATAAACAAAGTCTATGACTGATAAAGCAGTATCCATACAAGGTACATTGGACAATACAATGTAAATACATAATTTAAAAACTAAGTCTTTGTAGCAGATGAGGTCATTGCGGAGGGCTTCATCTTGTTGGTTTGCGGTAGCAGAAGAACATCATTGTGGTAGCGAGGTCAACATCGGATTGATAGGTTTAAGAGGGTCACTTTCTTGATTCAACACTTTCTGGTTGCTATTTGGATGTTAGGGTGTGATAGGTTCATGATAGAAGGAGAGATTTATGTTGATTGTGTGTGAATATATGCATGCAATTATATATTGTTAATACTTGTCTATGTTGGTTAGGATAATGCATGCTAGTTGTATAATATGCCTTAATGATGAAGTGGTGATATGAGCAGGATTATATAAATATGTAAAATGCCTTAACTTGTGATTCCTTGTTGCATGTTTACATAATGTGAAGTACGGAAGTAATATGTCTTCTAATATTATTAATTGAAATTTAGAATGATTACTTAAGGAGGTTTCTAGAGTAATCCTTATGTGATTAATTAATAATTTATTAATTAAAAATGGGAATACACTTAGTGGGGCGTAGAGGATAACAAGCTAGACTTAGGTGTGTATACTTATCCAGATAGTTGTGAGGGCTTTATAGGTTGGAGGATACCTAAAGGAAAAGAACTTAAGCCAAATGGAGACGTCGAGTTGTTTTACTTAACCACCACTCGGTATATAGTTCATGAACACTAAGGTGTTCGAGGACTGGAGTGATATTGGTGTAGTAATGGTGTTGGATCAAATATAATGTTTGGTTGAGAAGTTTATAGTGATGGGAAACAATGAGAAGTACCACTCTCGAATGACAATACACGTACTTGTATATGCATCTTCAAAGTAGTGAAAAACAACAAACAAGGAGCAATGTAATGAGTGAGAGTCGCACCTCAATTAGTGTGTTGGCTTGAGCCAGTCACATTAATTGTGAATGATGTTTTAACCTCTTAGGTTAGTAATGGACCTAGGGTTACTGATGCACCCAGTGGGGTAGGGTTCGCCTAATCACTTAGTAGTTAATGGGTTTTGCCTTCAGGTTAATGATGGACCTACATGTGGGGTGTCTACCTTATGGGTTAGTGATGGACCCATGTATGCGGAGTCTTCCTTACGGGTTAGTGATGGACCCATATATTAGGAATCCTCCTTGAGGGTTAGTGATGGACCCAGGCTAAGAATCATTATTAATTATCTAATACTAAAATATAAATAATAATGCTAGACCCTGATGATATTTTAGTGAAGAGCATTCAATGTATGTGATATATATGGTGTGTGTAATGTATGTGATGTATGTGTGGTATGTCGTGTATGAGATGTATTTGATGATAAAGCTTGTTGTTGCCTTGCACTGGTACAGCTAGCAAAGTTTGATTGTTTGGTGAAGATGGGGAATTTGGGTGGTTACATTCCAGTTTATGTCTTAGTATTGATACCATTTGGACATGTCGTGGAGTTTTCATAATACTTGTTTTTTGGAAATTGTTTTTTGTTTTGTTTAAAACTTTATTTTGATGAATGATGTTTTTGAAAATAAACGTCACATTGGTGATGTTTTCTTTAAACTTAAAATAAGAATTTGGCTAATGTATTCTGTTAAATAAATATTTTAAAAATAAGAACTACGTATTAGGTAAAAAAGTCATGGTGCTACAGGAGCAGTGAGTGAGAATAGACACTCATTCACTAATCATTTTATAGGTCGTTTCCTTATACCCCCTTATAGCATGGCTTCGTAAATAGGGCATACTATTGGTTGGCTGGCATGTCTTATACATATAATATATATTAAAATTTGAATCATATATAGTATACGGTGTATTTGAAAACTTTTAAAAACACGAGGTTTAAATATTCATTATCTAAAGTAAACTTTTAATTTAATTAAATTTCAACCACTTATGATTTAATCCTTATCTTTTAATTATATTTGAATTAAATTAATTTAAATCATTTAGGGATTAAATAAATATATTTTATTAAAAACTTAATTAAATAACTCAAATTTAATTCTTATCCAAAACCGTTATAATTTTCGAAATTAGGGTTTGTGGTTATCCAAATTTAATTACTCAAATTTTAAGACTTTTTAAACAATAATTAAGGAAATTAGAAAACCCTAAGGGAACCCTAGGTATTATAAAAAATAAAGGTGGAGGCTAGGGCTTCAAGAAACTCTAGAAAAGTCAAAATTTCAAGGCTATAGGGTTTAATTTCTATAAACCCTAATTTTATCCATTCACTATTATCCACACTCAATAGAAAACAATCTAGTCTCTGATATCACTGATGAGTTTTATAGGTTATAAATTTGTATATGAGGCGAAAATTTACTAAACTCTTATGTTCATATGCAACCTATTTGGATCTATGTTTTTTTCTAATGATAGCAATAATGTATGAATATCAAGAACCCTAAGGGAACTCTATAATAATCGAAAATTACATAGTGTTAGAGTTTACATGTCTGTTGATTATTGTAACAAAAAATCACACCAATATTCTTTTTGAAAACCTTTGGAAAGCAAGCACCAAAAATCTAATGACTCTAATTGTTTGTACCCAAAACCCTATAAACCATAGAATAAAGAGGAGAGCGAAGAGAAGGATATAATTTTCGTTCCTATTCTTGTACGTAAATGTATGAATGAAAATAATGAGCTAAAGGGTACTATTTAACCACATAAAAAATTAACATTTCAATTATCTTTTCCGAATTAATATATTAATCACATAATATATATTCACAAATTATTTCTCTATCTCTTTCCTAATATCATTTCTAGTTATTTCAGGTTATGAGGGCAAACCAAAAAGGACTTTGCTTCTATTTGCAAGTTTATACAAATTTAGTTATAAACAAAAAGGACTTTCCATCTAGCATGCAGTTGATATCAAGTTTAACAACAGAACCTGAATTTGATCTCCTAATCTCTTATTCATATGATTATAACTTTGCATAATGTTCCACAAGAGCTACATTGATTAGTTGCAAAGCAAAATTTTTTAGCCTGCATTTCCCAATACTCACATGAATACCAAACTTCCTAACAACTTCATAACTTTATTTTCTCACACTCGTCTTTTGTTTATGTAAGATTTGTTTGGTATAATAACTTCCTATCAATGCATATGAAATCAATGAACCTCACTTAGAGTTCCTAGCACAATTATGATATGAGTTCAAAGATTTTATCTAGAAGTCCTCTTCATCACTCATCCATGAGGCCTATAACCTAATGGTACACTCACCCTTGCAACATTGCGATAACCACCTTTTACTATCATTTTTAATAAAGCAAAATTGGTATCCTTCTGCTATAACATAATTACACAACATAGTTTTTATTGAGCTGGATCTTTAAATCTCATACCAAGTACGGTGTTTCGGTTCTTCCAGTTTATTGACTCATTAAAAATGGCATGAACTTAAATTGTGGGTTCACTTTCATTCTCATCTTCTAAAACATTGTTGGTATCCTCCTACCCCCGCCCCCCTCCCTTCTTCATGAGCATATAGTTTATTCAATAGTTCAACAATACATGTTCTACTCATAGTCACTACTTCCTCATTAAAATCCACTGTCACATCCCTAAGGTCACCTATGCCATCAAACCCACTATGAATAAAAGAATCATTGTCATCATATTCTCTTTCAAACTCAAAAAAAATCTTGTAATCCATCATCAGCATGATCGCATAAACGAAAATTTGGCCATTAGTTCTATTTGCATTAAAAATGAAAGTTGCATAATCCACATTATTCGCAATAAGCCTAATTTCAGTCAAAAGGGGAGCACATGGCTCACAATAGTACAACTTCTTACAATCTATTTTCATGAAACGTTCAAGAAAAGTAGCACACTTTACATGTGTCATACCAGAAAAATCATGATCTGCAAAGATGAATTTCATATCATTATTATAAGAGAATGGTCAGCGAATAAACAACCTATTAAAGTTGAGTTCTACCAGAGGACATATCCCAATGGGATTCGAGGCTAACATTGCTACTACTTGCGGCTACTTCACTTCTTCTATATAGGACTTGAAAACCATAGATATGTGTAAAGGTTTTGGAGTAATGAAAAGGGACGACGAAGACTAGCTACCTTAACTTTCTCTCATTAACACTGATACTTACATAACATTACTAATGTGGCCTTCGAATTTATTTGTAATCCTATTTCAAATTAACACGTAAACAAAGTAACCGACTCATCCACTTGCATTGCTCAAAATGGCATAATTGATAGGTAGTTTGAAAGTTTAAGGACCAATTGCGAAAAATAAATAAATAAACAAATAAACCTTAGTGACCAATTCGGGATAAAGCCAAAATTTTATTATGCTATAGTGTCATTTTCCATTTTATAATTACTAAATTTCTTTCATACATATCCAATGACCACTTTATATCGTTACAATCATTCCACTTAGGGAGGTGCAAAAAACGAAAAGTATTTACTGATCATTGTTTTTGATCACTAAGTCTCCAATATATTAACCATTATCTTATTAAGTTTAATGTTGTGAACATTATTTTTGGTAACTAATACCAATAATGACCATACAAAGAATTTTTTTTAAATTTAATTTTATGGTTTAGTAACTGTTTAGCGATGATCGTCATAGTATTAGTCATTAAATTTGTAGTTTTACCAAAATTTTGTAACAACTTAATATATGATGAGTAGATGATGTTTTAGTGACCGGAATTCGGTTCATGACTAAAGAATGGTCACTGATAAGGACGTGTTCAACAAAATTATTTGTTAGTGGGTAACTTGTAGCTTATAGCATTATATTAAACACTACATGAAGTAGCATTTGGATTTGGAGCGTTTTGTTTAAACTAAACGCTAGTAGCTTGTGGTGTCGAAAAAGGCTTTCTGTTCAAAACGCTAGAAGCTAAAAGCTCTCAAATGGTCCGAAACCTTCCGTGCCGAACACGCCCAAAAAATTTTCTTCTTGTGACAATTCTTAATTATAACAAGAGAAATCAAGCCGTGATGGATATGAAAGTTCCAAGAAACAGTTGTTTTGATAGATAAAATATTAGATAACATCATTATTAACAAAATAAGAAGACCCAATATTAATAACAAATTAAGAAAAACAAACAACTTGTAGGTAGCGAGACATATTTATACATTGGCATGTGATGCGAATAATGGCTCACTTGACTGCAAGCATCTGCAAGATAAAACAGAAAAATTAGAATCAAGATGCGTATACAAAAAGAGACAACAATAAATAAGATATAATGCAATGTTAGTGTTTTTCGATAATCAAACAAAAAAATGACCTATTCACATAGACACTTGAGTGACTAACCCAATATGAATGTTATCCAAACACAACATTGAGAACTAAAAAATCATAGTATATACAATCTTACTAAAATATGACTTTAAATTAACCTTTTGATACTTTTATAATTCCTTTCAACTAGGTTGAACAACAAAAGAACTAGATCTCAAGCTAGAAAAAAATTTTAAACCACCTTTGACTGAAACAGTTTCTTGATGCAGCTAATTAAGGAAGAAATGGAATTAATTCGTATGTATACGAATTCAAATTAATTCATCCTAATATACATCAACAATTCTCGTGATCACATATATGCAAGAGTACGAATATTTAACATAGTTTCTTGTGGGACTTACATGTCACTGCTACTGAAAATGATAGACGAAGCCGGTTTCTCAGGTGAGATGCTGAACAATTGGTTAACTATGTATACACATAGAGTAATGCTGTGAAAAGGTTCAAATTAAACATTAGCCATATATATTAATTTACCGCATTAGATGCAATTGAATTTAAAATTATGATTATATCCAACGTGTAAGATCAAAAATAAGATCATTGATTGCAACTACTTTAGGCCAAATATATAGTGTTCTATTTTCATTCGCAACACAATATGCATCTATTACAGCATGCATAAAGAACTGCATACTTTGCATGCCCTTAAGATGCATATGTGATACACCAAGCATGACACATAGCGAGGATAAATAAGTTATCATATATCACCTAAGCAGCCTTCATTAGCAAAGTGTTTTATCAATGCAAGTGAGAAATAAGAAATTTACTTGGATCGAATAATTAATACTAACCTCCCAAAACATAAAAGTGAAATTATCCATAAGGAAGCTATTAGCCAACTTGATTCTTTGTATGCTATCCACACCTGAAAAGCTACATTCCATTATTCTTGTTATAGAAAAAAAGTGGTACAAGAAGCACCGAATTCTTATTTTTTGAAATCTAGGTTCATTTTAAATGCATCAAAATCCGTAAAAGGATAATTCTGAATTATGAATTATAAAATTTAATCGCAACCGAATGAGAGTCAAATATACTGAATATATATAGACGTACCGCAAACATCACAGCATGGATATAGAGGTCTGCCATATTTGCTAAAAAACACCTGTTTTCATTTATTAATTATTAATGTCACTTTACATTGTATGTGAAGGAGAAAATGTAAATAAAGATTGAAATAGAAGGATGTTTATGTACTTTGTGAATGGATCAGCATATGAGCCAGATATATCTTTAATAAGAGTGTAAATTAAAGCTCCCATCGTCAAAAATGCTAGTGCAGAATAGATTGCTCTTACAGTTACAACAGGGATTCTCGAGGTGTTTTCCCTAAGCAAAATATTAAAATATATTGAAAACACATCGTAAATATCGTAACAATTTGTTTGATACGGTTCATGCAATCAGTTATAAAAATCAAAGAGAAAACGAGTCAAACCCACTTATGTAAAGCGTAACATAAGAAAGCAAGTAAAAGGTGATTTACCTTGTTAATTAAATTGAAAAGATAGCATAGAGAAAGAAATAATTAGAGAAAACGAAGAATATAAATTTTGATGGTCAGGAATATGGATCTTTTATTATTACCTTTTATGATGTCTCACTAACACAAAATATAATGGATTTGTCGAAGATTCTTCACGTGATAACTTGAAGAACTGAAGAAGGATGTATCCAATGCTAAGAAGGCTGTGTAGAAGGTAAGAAAATATGACTAACTCTGACAAGTACTATACGTACAAAGGTTGTAATATATGTAACAGTTCTACCATGTATGCTTGAACAGAGAAACAAAATATTATCGTGTTTATTAGGGTTATTGGCAGTTTGGGACACAAAAATATTTGCTCCAACAAGCCTAGTTGCAGACTTATCAGTGAACATAAGAAAAATTATTTTTAGTTAATACTTGAAAAATATTAAATCGAAGCTTCTACTAATTACTTCTAAAAGATAGAGAAATAAGAAAAAGAATGATTCAAATTTTGATTGCAAAGGGATCAAGAAACAACAAACATCATGTGCAAATGATGTCCAACATAGGTGGGTGGATGCACGGGTTTAATATCTATGTCGGGTGGAGGTGATAGGTTCAATCATTGTAGTTCTTAAAAAGTGTCACACTACAAGGGTTGAGTTTGTCCGGTAACAAACCTTGAACTCGGATGCTTGCTGAAATATTGCGAGTAGGTTTTCATTTAATGGTTTGCTGTTTTCGAAAAAAAAAAAAAAACAAACAAACAAACAAACAAAATTTTTCCTATTATTATAGTTTAAATTGGTATGGATAGTTGAGGGGCATCGTCATGCAGGATTACAAAGTTGCTTCCAATTATAGTTTAAATTGGTATGGATAGTATGCAGGATTAGAAACTTGCACTAATATATAGATCATCAATTAGAGCATCTTGTGTAAACTTTAAGTTATTGATGCCACATACAAGTGGGAGATGATCTAATAATAGCTAGTCTTTTTGACAAACTTAACATTTATATACATATTAATATTTAGTTCCTAATGCACACTAATTTAACCCTATTGGATCACTTTTATTTTTTTATTTTTTATTCTATATCTTTCTCATATATAATAATACGTGTTGTTTCTTCCTTCTATCTCCCGCTTCTCTAATTAGGTACGGACAACATATAATCCATCACCGCGTCAATTCATCGATAACCTCACCTTCACCGTTATTGCTTCCTTTTGATCCAAAAACCTTCTCTCTATTCTTCCAATTTCTTGGGTCCATGTGCAACATCTTCCTCTTCCGTTTTCATCCTGTTTCTCTCTAATATGCTTTGTACCTACATGGACCAGGATTTCATACCATTTCAAGGTTACTATTCTTTAATCCGTATGCACACACTTATCTGATGTTTTTGTGGTCACGGATGGCCAACCATCTCTTTATATTGCAAAACGGGAGGCAACCACCACAGTCTACAAAGTTATAACATTTTCTAAAAATACAGGTTTTACCAATTTTAATGAGTTCCTTTCGGTTTTAGTGGTCGATTATCACGTAATCACCTTAGTTTTTTATTGTTTGTAGGCGGGCACCACCTATGTTGCATGTATCGGCCTTAAATCATATTGGTAGACCACCATGATTCAGTATTTTTTGTTTTTGGGAAACCTTCTCACACAATCGCCCTAAGGCAGGAAACCAACAATAGTCAGGCATCGAATGTTCAACTAGAGGCGATTTACTGGTGTATGTTTGTTTTCTGATATACAATTTTTGGGCAAAGGGACAGAGACAGACGAGTGGATTATTTCGTGCTCATTAAAGCTTCAATTGCTACCATTTACAGTTCTATCCACCCTGCTATTCTGCCATCCAAATAAGGAGGTAGACTCTACCTCACTCTCAGCACCACTGTTTGTGGCTTTCACCATCGTTTTTAGTGAATTGGTTGAACACTAACTTCCCCTTTTTAATGGATTGTCTTCTGCTTCTTTGATTTAAATAAAGCTCGTATAAAACTCCTTACTTGATTTGTTTCTTTTGCAAGTTTTAAAGAATTTGAAGAGGACAAGGGAGAATAATTGAATGAGTTATTGCTCAGATGGAAGAAAATTAGGGTCGGTGCAATCAAACAACCCAAAAACGTATCCGTTTGAAACCTTAGAATTTTTTTTCTTAAGAGAGGTAGACTAATGAAGCTTATTATAATGTCTTCTAAATGTTTGATAAAATGACACGATGTCTTCTAAAAAATTTTATTTAATGCAAAAAATGGTTGATCAGATGCATAGGAAGTTCACATTTAATGGAGGTTGTGTTTATGTGAGAAAACCATTTTTTTTGGGATTTTAGAGAAATTGCTTCCGACTCCTGAATTAAGATCAGATCAAATAGTAACATACTTTACTATTACTACCAAGATGCGCAACGTACTTTACTACCAATAATATAAATGATTTAACATACATGAATAAAGACTTTCTTTTTTAGATTATCTAAATGTGTGTAAATGACCATTTACCCATATGTCCAATATTTTAGGCTATTTTATATTTGCATTTATAATTTAGAAATAACCTAAATATTTTTTGGATAGCCCGTTTTACTTTATAGCTTAATTAGAAATTATTCTCTTTAGAATAACAATTTTTGGTAAGCTTGACAGATTATCAGAAACCCAAGAGTCATTCGATGAAGACGATTGGACCAAATTTGATTACTCATGGCTGACTATGAGGTTAGGAAGAGAATAGAAGAATATATATTCTTTAAATCTTAGTTTTGTGATTTTTTTTGCAACTACAACTGATATAATTAAAAAAACATTTAGTTTCTTTAGGGTACATGTATTTTTTCAACAACTTTGACACACAAATCTCATCTGATGAACTTCTTTTGTATTTAAACTTTTACATAGACATGGCCTTAAAGAGGCTTGAAGGGTGCAAAACATTAGTTTAACGGACAAACCTTCTATCCCACGAGAAAACAACGAAAAAATTTCCCGACCCCTAGCAACGCGAGCGCACACCCTCTAGTTTATAAGAAAATGAAGTTTAAACATGAGATCTCTGTATATATAAAATCAGTTATGCAAGTAACTTTGTTTGTCAGGAGACATGATCACACATGTTACTATAGGCACCCCTCCATTAATTATGAAATTTTTTAGATCTAGTGTTCTCAATAAGAAAATTATGGAAAAATATTTTTATGTGAAAACCGAGTTCTTGTTGGCCTATATATGATGGCAAGATGCTAAAGGCATGTTTATTTCCTGTTGACATCAGGAGGCCTTCATTGTGCGTGAAGCTTCTTGGAGGAGTTGTCTTTAGGGACACCAATTTTATTAGCGAATTTGTCAAGATGAGAGCTACCAACATTGTTGAGATGATGGTTGCTTCCATATTTGGGCGACCCATAGAGTTTCTAATTCAATTTTGTATGAGTATTGCAAAACTTTTCTTTCGCTTGAAGGTGTGTCAGCCTATACACATGAAAGAGGCTGATTTTTCCTTTGACAAAGGGTTACGCGAATCGAATGAGGACTTAGTGGTTTGTGGAGGTCCCTATTTCAGATACATCCATTGGACACTTACTCCGTTACCCATTTAGTGTGATGATTTGGGGTTGTACTCTATTGTAAAGGCTTCCTCATAGACTTGTGTGGCCTCTCTCAAACCAAGGTGATAGGAGTTAGTGATTTGTGGAGGTCCCTTTAAACTTATATGGATTCTTAAATGTTTTTTCCCTACATTTGTTGTCAAGGTCAATCTCTCAAACCAAGGTGATAGGAGTTCGTCTTATTAACTTGGACATCAAGGATATGGTTTCATCGATGAAACGTGGCATTGGTTCTTTCCCTATTGACTTTCTTGGTGTCCCAGTTGGTGCAAGCATGTTTGAAAAGCCAAATTACACACCCATATTTAGGATATTCCACATAAATAGATCAACAAGAAAAGTTAACAGCCTTTTTGTTGGAAGTAAACTTGTGCTTTGTAAAGCCATACTTAACTGCCTTACATCAACCTCTTCTCTCTCTCTCTCTCTCTGACTCTTAGGAATGAGAAGAGCTTTGATACTACTTGTCATGAATAAACGAGAAAGTACAAACATATAAATACATATTATTTAACGTGATGCAATCATTGTGACCTACTTTCAAACTGTAGGAGGGAATATTCTTATTCACGATCTTACACAGACTAACAATAAAATCAAGACAGAAAAAGAACCTCTCAAAGACTCTTTAAGGAACATTTGAAGACGACTATAAATCCTAGTTGACAATCCCTATTTATAGATTGGAGATTATACACAGAACCCTAATGGCCACACTCATCCAATCATTGGTCCAACTGGATGTAAAAGACTCAAAAGACATCATATAGCTACTTCTAGAACCTTCAACATGAGATAATATGCATGGCCACCTATCATGTACTGTTGGGTCAAGATTATGGATTATACTTTACATTTACAGGCAATTGTATTTTTCTGTAATGTTTTATGAGTTTACGGTCAGGTTTACGGCCAGGGAGGTGTTTACGGCCATAAACAGGTTTATGGCCGTAAACCCATTTTTAGCCCATGTTTCTCATATATATATATATATATATATATATATATATATATATATATATATATATATATATATATATATATATATAGGGTGAGGGGTGTGAAGAAGGAATGAAATAGTAGAGAGAGAAAGGAGCATGTGTGTGTGTGTGAATCTCATGTAAAGGAGCATCATTCCATTCTATTCAATACATTAAATATTCAAGTTATTGTTCTCTTCTTCTCTTCTATTTTGATATGGAATCATCCGTTTGATTGAGATTCTGCACCATCAAACGGATCTGATTGATACACAAGCAGATCAGGGACTTACAAGTGGTATCAGAGCTTGGATTTTATCAGTCAATTTTGTTAGATCTGGAGCTTATCTGATCTTATTTTGGAAGGATTCTTGCGTTTTTTCATAGAACTTGGCAAATTATGGGGGGTTTGTTCTTCACGTTTTTTTTATAAAAATGAGTTTTTGATCGAGTTTTGGAGCAAAAAGGGGTGGAAAACGTTGTTTTTCACGTAATCGCCGGAGTTTACGGTCGTCGGAGTTTGCGGCGGGAGTTTACGGTCGCCGGAGTTTATGGTCGGCGGTTTGCGGGCGGCGGCAGTTATGGCTCGAACATCTGCGGCTCGGCTTGGTGGATTACGGCTCGGTGGACGGCTTGGTGGATAGCTTGGTGGCTTTCAGCTCAGTAGCAACACCCATCTAAAAAATTACAAACGCATTGAGGGTGTCGGAGATCGAACACGGGTCTCCTCCAAACTCAATAGGCGCCCCTTCCAACTCATCTAGGCTACGAGATGATATCCTCCTTCCGTTTTCAATTCTTAAAGATTCGCTCTCTCGGTTCCTCTTTTGCAAATTTAACACTTTTAACCCTAAAATTCAATTTCTTTCAATTTTAAATTCTTTTTGCTTCCACAAATTTTAGCTTTTAATTTTTTAAATTTCTAAATGGAATTTTGACTTAAAATTTTGACTTTGACTTTTAAGTTTGACCTTGACTTTAGACTTTGACTTTCTGGTTCAACCTTCAAATTTTTAAATTTAGCTTTTTGGTTTGACTTTTTAAGTCTGATTTTGGCTTCTAGTTGTGCTTTTTAATGGCTTTTGAGGTCTACAAGGGAACTGAATACATGAAAAAGAGTCATCAGGATATGTTAAGACAAAAGTTCAATATGTTCAATTATATCCCTGGAGAAACCCTGGAAGCTCAATTGCAGCGACTTACTACAATTACTACCGAGATTAATATAGCTAGGATCTTCTTAACTAAATATGAGATAAACAAAAAGCTACTGAATTCACTTCCGAAATCGTGGGATATAAACGTGGTTGTCATCAATAAGACAAAAGATCTCAATCGTCTTAGTCTTGTTGTTGTAACTGAAGAACTTGACGCTTTGAAGTGTGGAAAAACAATGAGTTCCGCACACATCCCGGTCAATGAAGTTTCATGTACTCCATCTTGTGAAGATACGATTAAAATTCTTCGTGAACATAATGATTTGCTAAAAAGGGAAGTCGAAGACCTAAAATACAAAGGATATCAACTTAGGAATGGACAAAAACCCCTGAAGGCTGAATTAGAAGCAAAAACCAGAGACTTTAGGAAGCTTCAGGAAGATTATAGCAATAAATGTGAAAATTATGACTATGTTAAGAAACAACTTGCCGAATTAACTGTTGAGCTTGACACATTAAAAATCAAATTTGTAACTGCAGATTTTGATTTTAGAAAATTTGATGTGTCAAGCGAAGTAGTTGCGAACATGATAGACCATTGTTTGCAATTTAAAAATAAACAGCAAAAAGTTATATGGTGTGATAGTGTTCTTCCACCTTCCAATCATAACTACACATCCATCCCTATGACACACGAAGAAATTGACAGGGAGGCACTTCTTCAATATGGAAAACCAGCTGGATTTGTGTCAGGAGGTATTTAGGTTGAAAATACTAATGCTTCAACTTCATGTGCGGGTAACGTAGCAGAGGATGAGAACAAGGAGAACACCATTGAACAAACCAACATCTCCTGGAGCTCAAAATATGTTGCTTCGAACTCAACGGCTTCAGATCAACCTACTGTTGAGAAATACAGGCCACCAATTCCAGTGAAACAGAGTGTCTATTGTAATTGTGCTTGTGGGAACAATAAGGGACAAGGCAATGATACGCCACCAGGGGCAGGAAGAAACAACTTCACAGTGAAGAAAAAGACATGTTTTCACTGTGGATCACCAAGACACATTGTCAGAGATTGTCCTAATCGCGCATACGTTCCCTACTATGCAAAGGTTGGCAGAACGCACCAAGTAGGAGATACTTCAAAAGAAACCCTTCCATGTCACA